AGCAATATTTAGTAGTCGAACTCTTAAGGCGAAATTGAGATTTGTTGGTATGCGCTAAATGACTCTGAAAACCCTTTTTAACATCAATCTTGTGTTCTGTCTCCACAAGATGAGATAGAATAGTGCTACGAATAGGTTTTGTTTGTCCTTTGCTTAACCACAATACAGGGTGATGTTTGAAAATCCGACGAGGAACACGCCTAATTGTACGGCTTATGCAACTAACTGGCTCACTCCACAGGAGCAGTTAAACTGGTAGATACACATGGAAGAGGCGAAATTAGGCAGTTTATATCTCACTCCCGAACGCAAAATAAGCGTGGAGTGGTTTTGAAGATATAGCGTAATTCAGCAACAACACTGAATGCTCTTTGTACCGCATTTCTAAGGCGCTGTGTTAGTATCTCGCTAATGTTGTCCCCGAGGAGCTGAATTTGTAAGAATGAGGCCTTCCTTTTTCGGAACTGTTGGCACCTTAGGCTGCTTTGATTTTATATTCATATTCTTATCACAATAAACTTTCCTGGATAACCTTATACATATATATATGTTTATAATTGTAATGTCTTACACAGATCGACTTGAATTATTACAACGTCTTCTGTTGGCAGTTCCACCATCTTTTGTCGACAGTGATTCTTCTCTTGTCAATAACACTAACAGTTCGTCGACACAATTTCAATTATGGATTGATTTATCATCTTTGTGGAGTTCCATTGAAATTGACGATGATACAGTACAAAAACAATTTTATCCTGTTTGGTTCACTCAGATTGCCTTACTCTATGCTGGGATTCTAAATATTCCTGCAGTAAGTGATTGAATAATTTACTCTCCAGAATGTACATAAGTTTGAATTGTGCTCAGATAATTACCTATATATTTGTGAATTAGGGTTGACATAGTAGTATGTCGTTTAACTAAGGTACTAGGTAACGACTGGGAATCAGAGACGGTTCCATCAGATTGGGGTAAGTCACTTATTATACCAATATTCAAGAAGGGAGACAAGTCCTCATGTGATAATCATAGGGGGATCAGCCTGACGAACATAGTCTCTAAAATCCTAGGCTCAGTAATCATACACAGAGTAAGCTGAACTCGGGAAGAACAAACGAGGGAAAATCAAGCGGGCTTTAGGCCAGGTAGAGGGTGCATAGATCATATCTTCACTCTCCGACAGATCCTAGAACATTGACACACTTTTAGGCGCCCAACAATTGCCATATTTCTTGACTTGAAGGCGGCCTTCGACTCCGTGGATCGAGAGGTTCTATAGCAATGTTTGACTATGAAGGGAGTGCCAAGAAAGTACATTGCACTAATCAAGGCACTCTACTCAAACTCACGTAGCTGTGTAAGGGCTTATGGGGAATTGTCATGTGAATTGATAACAACCAGTGGTGTCCGTCAAGGATGTCCACTTTCCCCTTTTCTGTTTAACTTCATCATAGATATGCTAATGGAAGTATCCTAAACTGAACTTAACGACTTAGGAATTGACTTGTTACCAGGGAATAGTCTTATGGACTTAGAATATGCAGATGACATAGTCCTGTTAGGGGAGGATGCTGACAAAATGCAGACAGGGTCTTCTGAACACCTTGAGCAGCGATCTTCGTATGGTTGGCATGCGATTCGCCCATGTGAAATGTAAGATGCTGCTACAGGACTGGACTACGTCTACCCCTAGCTTAGTGATAGGAAGTGAAGTGATAGAACATGTTGACCACTTCACCTATTTGGGAAGTTGTATCAGCACCAATGGACTGATTGGCGACGAAATCTCAGCACGGATTCAAAAAGCTCGGGCTGCTTTCGCTAACTTACACCGTCTCTGGCGTAGGCGTGACATCCGGCTATCAACCAAGGGACGTGTATACTGCTCAACAGTTCTCTCCGTCCTTCTCTATGGCTCTGAAACATGGCCAATACGAGTTGAAGACATGAAAATGTTGACTGTTTTTGATCATAGATGTCTACGATCTCCTTCTTACGTTAGGTGGCATCATAAGGTATGTAATGTTGACGTTAGGCGTAGAGTGTTGGGCAAAGAGGGAAAATCAATCGAAGAGGCTATAAAGTTACATAGATTGAGATGGCTAGGTCACGTGCTGCGCATTCCTAACCATCGCCTCCCCTGACGGACGGGCATTGCTGGCTGATATAGGTGCAGGTTGATTGGAGAAGAGTAAGTGGTGGCCAAACAAAAACATGGCCTCATCAATCCATGAAATCCTTGACAGTTAAACTGAGTCAGGTAGGGAGATGCAGACTTCCGGGTTGGGGCCCGCCCTCGGGACTCTAAGAATCAATGGCTGGAGGCCATAGGTGACATGGCTCAAAATCGTTGTCAATGGCTTACGCAGATGTATTCAGTCTCTGTAATCTTTCATATTCCTTTCTACCATTACTCATTCTGTTTCACTCTTATACTTGTCAAAACTCTATTGATTCTCTTCACTCATCTTTGTTGTCTACCTTTGTATGCTATTTGGAACGTGGTAACTCGAACTGCTGCACTTCGGTGCCAAGTTCTATGTTGAATCCAGCCAGCCAGCCAGCCAGCATGAAATGCAGTTTATAAAATTGTATACTGATACCTCCAACTGGCTAGTTGGAAATCAAGTGCCTTATTCAGGAAACTGTAGCTTTGTAGGCTTTATTCATCTTGAATTAGACGAACTGTGAATATCTCTAAAGTAAATCATGGGACTAGTAGGCAAATAGAAGGTCTTGAGTACGAACATCAGTAGGTGCGTACTGTTGAAGAGTCCCCAACTAGGACGAAACAGTCGTCCAGTACTTCTTGCTGGTTTTCCAATCGTCCTCTAACCGATGTCAGTTCATGATGAAATCCTGCAATCAATCAAATCAAACCCCTGAAAACCAACACTTGAATATCAATCAGGTAGGTTCTAGTGGGTAGTTGTGACCATTGGGGTACAGCAGGTCGGGTGAGAGGACAAATACTCGCCACCGATGACATTGGCTAGTGGTCATGCTATGTCGTGAATGGGCAGAAGTTCGAATTCACGCACTGACTGGCTATTGGATTAGCGGGTCCCAGTGGTTGGTTGAATGGTCTACGAGCTAGCTCGCCTGCTAACCAGAAGATTCTGGGTTCGAACCTGGCAGTGGAGTGGGTGCTTGCGTGCTGCTGAAGAGTCTCCAGTTAGGACGAAGCAACTGTTCAGTAATCCAGGTATGGTTTTCCAATGGCTCTCTAACCTATGTTAGCTCATTATGAAATCCTGAAAGAATAAAAACGTTATGTAACATTGTGTGAAATTTGATAACATAGAATTTAATGTTGCAGAAAAAATATTAATTTAGAGTGACAGGTGGGACAAGTGAAATAATACTGGGGACAATTCAAAGTGAGAATAGCAGTAGTAGTAGCAACAACTGACGTAATAAAGAAAGAGTACACAAATTGAATAAAGAAAACGAAAAAAGAATTGGTAGAGCCAAAATATGGAATGGAGATTATCATACTTTAGCATAGAGCGATTAAGACCATGAAATTTTGGAGGGGTTAAACGAACTTTTTCTGTATACAGAGATCTGACTTCTTTATTCCGATTACCAAAGATGGCTTCATCAATACAGATGAGTCGGATACGTAGTGATTTGGGCAAATTACTTTTCGCCTTTTGGATGACTTTAAAAGTGGAGGTTGTAGAGATGAGGTGATTGTTGTCGACCAGATGTTTAATGATCGCGCTTCTTATAGCTCCACTCCCATCTCGTCGTAACCAATATTCAGGATAGTGTTCTTGCACCCTGTTGGATAAAAATTCTATGTTATCAAATTTCACACAACGTTACGCAACGTTTTTATTTTTATTCCATTTGCCTAGTTATCGTATAATTTTACATCCCTTTACAAGTTCTATGCATCCTATAAATTGTAAGGTAAATATTTAGAGACATTGAGTAGTAAGTAATATTGAAACTAAGAGACCATCACCCACCTAAGTTGATTGGATGAATTGAAATTTTACGTTTCATGTCACCTGACAACTGTTAAGCATGCTTGTTTGAAGCTTGGATGACTTAAAGTATACGGCTACCCACCTGTCTATCTGTCTGTTTTCAACATAGAACTTTGTACCGATGTGCAGCAGTTCAAGTCGCCACACTCCCTCAATGTAGCACACAAAGCAAGAGAAGAAAGTAGAAGAAATGCAAAATAGAGACAGTAGACAGGGATATGAGACAAAAGGAATAGGTAATAACGAAGGATAATATAATTTTATTGGGTATTATAAGTCACAAGGAGTGGATGCATCTGCGCCAGCCATTGAGAACAAGGATTTTGAGCCATATCACCAGTTGTCTCCAGCCTTCATTGGTGTGTACGGTCCCGAAGACAAACTTCCTCTTTTGTATACAGAGTTGAAGATTTAACACGTAAATTGCTCAGCTATTGCTGCTTCTGCTCTGTTTGAAGATGTTTGATGCGTACCCGTTTAGCGAGATTCCCACTTATTCTGCAGACAACAGCTTTGAAGTGGGTTTGTGAGTGGGGGTTTCTCTGGTGTCCAGATTCGATGGATCAAGTGTTCCAGAATAGAGCTTCTGGGCAGGGGACATGACTGTGGGTAAGTGTTCGGTGATACGTTTGGATAGCGATTGCTGGGTATAGGTACGGTCGACATACCTAGTTCCCCAGTCGGAGCAGGTGAATCGACAGATGCACACTGATGAGACAACCAATAGTGGTAGCTTATCCTTCACGTTCACATGAATCATTGGTTTCATAGAGAAAATTATTCGAAGTTAATCCGCGAAGAAGGCTTTGTTGAGTTTACGGGACAGGTGGTTTCTCAATATTTCTGCAGATGATGAGTCTTTGTTGAATTATAGATTTACATAGAGATGCTGTCTAAGAGCAGAAAGTGTGGGCGGTGTTAGCGACTAAACGCCTTTTCTTTTATATAACTCAAGGGGAGTATCATTAAATCTGTATTGATATTCACATTTATTTATTTCAGAAAGGGATTGGTAGTTCTGTGACATGGACTGATGAATCGCTTACTCAAGAAGAAATTAATACATGCCGTGTAAGTTAAAATTTGAAAATGTTTAGCTATTGTTTCTGTTAACTATTAAATGGTGGTTGGGAGCAGTTGGCAGGAAGCCCTGCCCTGTACCTAGATTTCGTGCCTTTTGGTATATATGCGACCTTATAGGAGCTACTGATGTCTGCTCGCCCCCTTGGAGATTTGAACCTGTGTTGTTCAGCCATGCGGTCAGATAAGTTACTATCGAGTTATTTGGACTCACGACTCACCAAGTCGTGGTTGCGCCAAAATCACGAATTGGTAGGAGTTAGAATTCATGGGCTAGTCATTGAAGAATCGGATCGCAGTGGCTGAATGGTCTACGAGCTTCTGTTGTAACCGAAAAGTCCTGAGCTTGTGACCCAGTGAGTGCGTACTGCTGATGAGTCCCAAACTAGGTTGATGAAACAGCTGTCCAGTACTCCAGTGTTGGTTTTCAATGGTTCTCTAACTGATATCAATCTGTGATCAAACTTGACAAACAGATCAAATCATTACCAATCAACTCTTGATTTGTGTAATGAATGAAAGCAGCTATCAACTGATAAAACTTGACTCGATTAAACTTCAAAGTTTATACACCTTGTTTGGCTTGTGGTTCTCACGAGATGGGGTTCGTCTCTGTTCATTAGCCAGCTATGATGTGTGTTACTCACGAATTGAACGATGACTGACTTAAGGAACGATTTGATCAATAAAGTATTTTAGAATTTCACACCTGGCTGACATCAAGTTGAGATGTGGCTCATCAGCTTAAGCACTCACTTTTCAGCTGATGCTGGGTCACGGGTGCGAATCCTGCGTGGTCTACTTCAGGCTGGACAATTGGGTAGTATCATCAAACCTCACACGATAAGTGTATGGCTGTTAGTCTGGTTCATATAACATGTGTTCCGGTTAATTGAGCTTAAACACATAGTTGACACGAAGCGTCAGCTGGACTTATTAAAGGCATTTGAAATCGATGAGTCAAGTATTACGCAACGATGATGTACCTGGTAATATACGCAGGAATAAGGTGCATATATAGCGTCTGTGCTAGTAATTGTGTGGCTGCTCTAACCTAATTGGGTGAGTGAGTGGTGTTCAAACTTTTGACTTGCTGGTGGTGACAAGTAGGACACCTAATTCAATGGACTACAGAGCCAGTCTAACTGGTTTAACACATAGATTAGGTATAAATCTACTTCACACAATGGTAGTAGCGATTGCTATCCATCTTTGTCAACTAAACTTTTTTATGGCATAGAAATGATAGAAATACTGTTGCAGGCTTTATTTTAGTTAAGTGTTATCTATCAGATTTCAGGTTGGGATTCGCTGTGGAGCATTGAAAACGGATCCAGACACTGTTGCAGATAAGTTGACTCCACTATTGCAAATTCTTTGGAAATAAGGAAAGATACCTACTGATTAGAGGAAAGGCTACCTTGTCAAACTATCAAAGAAGGGAGACTTAGGCCTCCGTAAGAACTGGCGTGGAATCATGCTCTTGTCCACACCAAGTAAAGTACCAATTCGCGTCACTCTGGAGAAAATAACAGATGCACTGGATACAGAGCTCCGTCAACCGGAAGAAGCTGGATTCAAGAAAGGCAAATCATGTAGTACTGGTCACTTAGCAAATCTACATATCATCTAATCTCAGCCTCAAATTCCTCGACTTTGCCAAATCCTTTGACAGTGTCGACCGAGAAGCCGGCCAAATGACAGTGTCTGCCACATGCGGGATGATCGACAATAAAAAACTCAGCGATGCGTTTGAAGTGAAGGCAGGAGTAAGACGAGGTTGAGTGTCTATTATCACTGACGATGATATTCCTGATTATGGTGGACTGGATCTAGCGTCAGACTATAGGGAGCGAGAGGACAGGAGTACATTGGACCGATAAGAGGACTGTAGCGTATCCTGATTTTTCGCGTGTACATGATTTATGTTCAATGTCACACAGACTCAGAAACTTGCAGGCAGGCAGGCGAAAATCAACAAACTGGCAGAAGAGGCTAGCAGCGAAAACAGGACTCCGGGTGAACATAGAGAAGACGGATGTGATGATGATAACCAACCAAGCAACCAACAGCATTAACAACGACAAGTAACAATCAGCATCAACAGGAGAAATTTGAAAGAGGTTACTTCCCTCACATTGTAGCAACAGTCTATACTGTTTAACCAATCACTGAGCGTGTGATTTCGGTTTACATCAAACGACATGAAATAGAATGTTCAAATATGCGTAATATTCTTTTGTTAGTGCTGTATCCAACCGTGGGAAATGTATTCTGTCTCGAACATCGAATAGAATGTGTTGCTACTACAGTATTGAACTGTGGGAATATATGAGAATAATATTCCGTTGCAACACATTGTCTGTATCACCCAACCACAACTTATCTGGAAAGCAAGCATTGTTTCAACCACAGGCGGAATTGATGGGGATGTCAAAGCGAGCTATCCGGAATCGGAAGGAAAAGATACGTGTTCATCCGTCTGAAATCGATTTGCCGATCTTCTACACTCATAACAAACACCAAGATTCGGATTCTGTCTAACACAAATGATAAGTTAGTCAGTTCTTCTGTATGCGTCAGAAACTTGGCCAACGTGTGAGTCACGAAAACCATTCCCAACAGGCCAGTGCAGACTTTCATCAACAGCTGTCTTTACCTGCTCCATATTGAAGATCAAGTTGGTGGCTAGCTGGCTGGCCAAAACGAATTAGCAAGAAGAAACTCTACAGTGGAACAAGCCAACCAAGAACCTATCGTTCAAGAAACATGTAGGAGAAAATGGAGATACGTTGGGCACACGCCACTGAGGAGACCGTCGAATGACATCACGCTTAGTGCAGGCCATCACTCGAGTGGAACCCGAATGCGAAACGACGAGTGGGTCGTCAGTGCGAGGGTGACATGGAGGATATCGTGTGCTGGTGGGGGGGAGGAGACGAAATATTAGAGACAATCATGGACTGAGGTGAAGGGGACAGCAGAAAACAGAAGTGTAGATGTGTTGTTAAAACCACTCGCAACCGAAGGGAACAATGGTAATAATGATAACAACAATGGTCGCACTAAATCACGAATTGGTAGAATTTAGAATTCATGAGCCATTGAATCGGGTCCCAGTGACTGAATGGCATACGAGTTTGCCTTGTGACCAGAAGGTCCTGGGTGTGAATCACAGTGGGTGCGTATTGCCGATGATTCCCAAACTACGATGAAGCAGCTGTCCAGTACTCCAGTGTTGGTTTTCAATGGTTCTCTAACTGATATCAATCCTAACCCTTACAAACCAAACTATAGAAAATTTCAGTTTGAATTTATTGTTGTGTGTTTTCCCTTTTTTTCTCTCTAGAAACTTGCATTGCATATTTTAACCAAATACAGTAACTCATCGAATAAATCCACCTCTGTTGTAATGAATAACGTTGACAGTATCAATATTCCTGAGGACGGTGATAAGTATGAATTGCCTTTTATGCCAAAACAGAAATGCTGTTCAGCAGATACTCTGGAGACTGGTGGATCCGATGAAGTTCGATCTGTATTTTTTCATGTGTTTGTTGCACCATTTGTAAATATTTATAAAGAATAATCTGAAGAAAAAAAAGTTTATTTGTATCTTTCAGAAATTTGGGTCCTAATTGGAACATGGGGCCTAAAAACAGCACATCTCCGTGTCATCCTATTCATTACAGTTCTTTTTAGTTGGCTCCACGATCACCTAACTCACCATTTCTTATTCGGGTTCCACTCTAGAGCCTGGCGCCTCAATGTTACTCAGTGTATATGTCTGATCCATCTTCATTTCCTTCTTTGCATATTTGTTGGCTAGTTCACTCCCTGTTGCTTATCCTCTCTGACTGGCCAACTCATCTTTAGTATCGAACTAGCTTAGGCAGGTGTTAGAAATACTCTTAGTGACATACCGTGTGAAGTTACATCGATTGAGAGAGATGGTTAGGACACGTGTTACACATGCCTAGCTCACTGAAATAGGATGGATCAGGTTGGAAAAGAACTAGTGGTGTGGTTAAACCAAAACGTGGCTTCATCAGTCGGTGGAATAAATCCACAACGGTTAGTTTAAGCCAGCCAGCCACATAGGGAGGTGTAGACTTCCTGGCTGGCTGGTTGAGGTCTTCGAAATAGTGCGAATCAATAATGGCAGTGGCTTTAGACAATTGGTGATATGGCTTGAAGTTTTCGTTTTCAGTGTCAGCGCAGATGCATTCACTCTTTGTGATTTTCAAGTATTGATTTGTAGGGATTTGACTGATTGGTGACGGGATTTAAACATGAGCTAACATCAGTTAGAGAACCATTGGAAAGCCTGCAGGTATTACTGGGCAGTTGTCTCACCAGCCTAGTTTGGGACTCTTCATCAGTACGCACCCACCGGGTTTCGAACTCATGTTCTTCTGGTCGCATTAAGCCACTGGGACCAGCCAATCAAATGGCTAGCCAGCCCGTAAATTCCAACTGCCAATTAGGGTACAAACTATAATGAATAATAATAATAATAATTGTAACAACAAAGAAATCAAAAGAAGAAAAAGAAACCAAGAAGGATAAGGGGAAGAGGCATTCTTGATGAGAAGAAGAAACTTTAATCCAAGTTTGGCCATGGTAGGAACAGCGTCTGAACCCGTTCTTTTTAGACACAAAGTTCCGGTTTATTGCAACAGCTTCAGCTGTATGTGGGAGACGTAAGTGGACGGTACGTGAAAGCTACCTCGAAATTTGGTATGCAACTCTGAAGGCTGTGGTGGCGTCGATGGGATGTCTCGTATGGACCATGTATGATAGAATCGAGCTTTTTATACCTTTAATTTCCCCCTTGCTGAACTAAGCTGGTAAATGTTCTCCAACCCGTAGACGAACCTGCCTTATAGTACGCCTTATATAACTTAAACCACAGGAACAGTTGAAATAGTATATGCAAAAGGTTGGCTCTCTCACGAGGTGTGCAACATAGATGGCACTGAAATAGAGACCAAGTTGGAAGTTAAATACTAAGGCGTCATTCTATCTGCTGATCTTTCCTGGTCGTCGCATATCTTGACGATTTCTAAGAAAATATTCCGTCTTACCTTCCACATCAAGAAGTTAAGATATTCTGGTATAAATCAACCCTTACTCCTATGATTCGTTAACTCTCACATTCTGCCTATCATTCTCCATAGCTATCCCTTAGTTTTTCCCGGACTACTGAAGAAAGACTATAACATATTACGTGGGATGTTAAAGGTTGTCAGCAGGGTAAGCAACGTGCCACTTAACCAGCTTGTTAATATTCTGGTTGACAGGCACATGGATTCATGTGAAAAATGGGCTAAGTCCATTTTATCTAACTCACACCACCCTCTTCATTCACAACTCTCCCCTTGCATCTCATCAGGCAAAACCAACCAGAAGCCTATATAGAAAACCAAATGCTCGCAATAGCAAGTACAAAAACTCAACCATGCTTTACTTGGCTCGTGTTCTGTGCGATAAAGAAAGCATTAGGCGTGATACCTATAACTTATTAAATAGTCAGTAGAACCATTGGATCTCGTCTTTCCAACTCATATCGTTTATAGGTACAACGTTTTCTTTCTTTCTTTTCCTTTTCTCTCTCTTTTTTCTATTATGTGCTGCTTTGTTTCTGTCTTCCTTACAAACTCTACTTAAAACATTCTTCTTCGTTCTTTCACACTCTGTATATCTCGACCTTTTTGTTACCGCTTACGCCAGTAAATATGCTAGTATCTACTTTTTCTAACACCTTCAAACACTCTGTTCAACTTTGGCTTTGCTAATGACATGGCAATATGTTGTCAAAACTAACCGAGATTAACCTTAATCTACGTAGAATTTTATTTATTGATAATGTACTAACTGGATGCAAAACTGTAGTAAAATGCTGGGAATTCCATTCCGTATCACAAGTACTGTTTTGGAATAAAGTAAATTATTATTCTTATTCTTTATTATTATTATTATTATTATATGAACAGGTATGCAGAGTGGAAAGCTTCCTCCATCGCCCTGGTTAAACATTGCGATATAATCTCCACAGAAGAATCTCACCTGAATTGTAGACGTGAAAACAATAAAGGTTTTTCCTCCACCTTTGCTAGTTCATGTTTACGACTATTGTAATCCATGTCGGCTTTACTAAGCATCTCTGGATATCCGTTCTCGATTAGATTATCCCGGATGACCTGGAGTTGTTTCTCTACACAATCTTCGCAGCAAATTGATCTCGCTGTAAATGCTAAGCACCTGATCAGATTACGTTTGTATTTCATAGGTACGAAGCTAAGGAAGCGTGTATACTGAGCTTTGATCCCCAGCATTCTAAATATGGTTCTTTTGACGGAACCATCCTCCTTTCTCCTTACTGGGATGTTGATGAAGTGTAGAGTCGTTGTATTCCCCTTATTTGAATTGGACTACCACATAACTGGCCATTATTTTAACGACAACAAATATATTTTCTTTTATAATTGTAAGAACCTGAAGAGAAGGATGCATTGAAAAGAATTTTCTTCGTTCAATCACATAGAATTAGAAGTGGAATTCTTCTAAACAGTATAAATTTTAATAACATATCAGTTATAACCAATGGCGATTAAGACCATTTATAATTCCGACTGGTACTGTCTAATAAGTGGTTCGCATGAAACATTCACCTAATCAATGTGTATAGTAGTAATGCTATCAAGCTGAAGTTCTTGAATGTGAAGAATGTTAATTAAAATAAATAAAAAAAAACAAGCGAAATTGATATTTAGTTGTAGTTGTGTGTATATGTGTGCGTGTGTGTTACAAAACGCCTGTTTGGAACCTTTCATTTTCCATTCAGTCACTTAGGTGTTTGTTGACTTAATTAATGATTGGTTATCCTCTGTTGAAGAGAACGCACAATTCCATTATGCAAGAGAAGGTAAGCTACACTCTGGTGTTTATAAGACGCCAACGCATTCTGCTAATAGATATTTTTAGACTTTAATTCATCTCATCCGTTATCTGTCTGTGAAGGCAGGTGGCTTAGTTAAGTGTCTAACAAACCAAGCAGTACCACTAAGTAGTACAAAAAAAGACTTAAATGATAAAAAATGAAACAGATAGAAGAAGAAGCGTTGGTGTTAAATAAGCAACTATCCTATAATGCGACAGACAGCGGGCAATGAGGAAACAGGCATAAAATGGACTCACACAGAAAACTTGGAGGATCTTGACCTCGCCGATGATATATGTCTGATTTCCCACAAACTGGAAGATATGCAAGCGAAAAGCAACAAGTTGGCAAAAGAAGCATCAAAGATAGGACTTCAGGTGAACATAGGTATAACAGAGGTGATGAAGATTCCCGGGCAACAGCAACAACAACAACAGACAACAATCAGCATAAATGGGAGGAACCTGAAAGAAACAACCTCTTTTACCTACCTACCTGGGAAGCATCGTTTCAACTACAGGCGGAACTGACGAGGATATCAAAACAAGAATCGGAAAAGCAAGACAAGCTTTCACTATTCTCAAGTCTATGTGGAGGTCAACAACTCTCAGCATCAAAAATAAGATCCGGATTTTCAACTCCAATGTGAAGTCAGTGCTACTTACCGTACGGATCAGAGACTTGGCCAGCGCGTCATAAAGAGCATCTCAAACAAACTACAAACCTTCATTAACAGTTGTCTTTGCTCAATACTCAAGATCAGATGGATAGCCAGAAAAGATCAGCAACAGAGATCTCTGGCAATGAGCGAACCAACCAGGAACCGATTGTGAAACAAATAGGCAGGAAGAAATGGAGATGGATTGGCTGGCCATACTCTGAGGATACCATCAAATGACATCAGTAGACAAGCCATTTCTCGAGTGGAACCCGAAAGGGAAGCGGCGAGTTGGTCGTCAGTGCGAGGGTGACATGGAGGAGGAGGTCATTTGAAGAGGAGATGAAAACGTGCGGGTAGACATGGAGCCAGGTGAAGACTCTAGCAGGGAACCGAACTCAATGGAAACGCACGGCTGAAGCCCTATGTTTCTCTAGGAATTAAAGGATACAATAATAATCATCCTATAAAATTCATTAGGAAGATCAGAAAAGGTCGAAAGCAGAATAAAAATAATGGTGAAATTAACAATGATAACATAAATAAATATACAATTTTACCATATAAGTAGGGGGCACTTGAAACCCTACGTAGTAGGCTTCTTCATAAAGCAGGAATAAGAGTGACATTCAAACCTACAGACTCACTCAGAGACAAGTTCTGTAGGCTGAAAGACCCGGTGGACCCAATTAAACAAAATAATATAATTTACAAAATACCTTGCAATGACTGTGAGTTAGGTGAACTACAATGGTCAAACTAGTAGATCGGGGGTAGTCAGACCGTCAAGATATAAGAATTTAGCTAGGGTAAGAATGACTGACCCCGTGAATACAGATGAGTAATTTAGTAAAAAGGTCAGTAGCAACCGCACTGCATGGATTCATACTCAACCACACAATAGCATGGAGCAGAGTCAAAATGCTAAGAACTAATATCGGTAGGTGGAGAGCGAGCAAGGTTGATTACTGAATCTTGGTTCATCGAGTCTACACC